AGTGATGTGTGATAGGCGTTGAACGACGCAAGGCATTCAGCCGCGGGGGAGAGTCTGAAGCATGGGTCTTGGGCATGGCGAAGTTGGGCCTTGATGCCACGATCGGTTAGAGACTTCTGTTCATTGGCCATGACCGAGAGAGCGGGGAAATCGGAATACATGGCTACTATATTTCAAAGTCTGAACGAGTTTATGAAAGACTTCATTCCCCAGACCAAGAACATCATCAAATTCATCATCATACAAAAGATCAAACAAGAAACCTCCTCGCAGAATCTTAAGCTAGGAGACCGTGCTTCGTCTTTCTCTGGTTGGCGTTGTGTCAAAGAGCAGGGAACCCTCATGCTGTGCGGGTCGTGTTGGGTCTGTTCATCGGTTCGTTCCATTATGCATAGTTTTGGTTGAACTCTGTGTCAACGTCTTCGGCACCCTAGTCCATGTATAATTTCCTCATGTTGGTTTTCAGCACGGCCGAATGTAATCTTAGCTTTCTGTGGCGGCCCAGCCGCGACATTCGGGCGGCGCTCGGCATGTAGCAAAAATCACGGATGAGCAAACGCATATGAATGAACTTTTGGTGAATTGACTAGTTGGGTATAGGTACTCCCGATGATTAATTATACAGATGAATCCGAGCTTGGTGGATGGTTCAGGAGGCCATCGTATGGGTGATTATTTCCCGGGGCTTTTCCAACACTTGGTTTCTCCCCGCTAAACCATCTCCCCAATCTCGGGCGGCCCTCATTGAGAAGTTTTCCGGGGATTGGTAAGTGAGTGAAGAACTCATTTACAAGACAATAGCGCCGACGATGCCGGCAGCGGCAGCGGCAGCAGCGACAAAGAGTCCAGTCTCGCGGGGTGCGGCGGCAGCAGCAGCGGCAGTGGTAGAAGCGGCGCTACCGGAAGCAGAAGCACCAGAAGCAGAGGCAGAAGAGCCGGAGCGAGAGGCGGTGGCAGTGGCGGAAGCCGAGCCGGAAGCCGTGCCCGTGGCGGTCGCAGCGGAGCCAGAGCCGGTGGCAGTGGCAGTGGCAGTAGCATCGCCGCTGGTGAGGACAGCGAGGGCGGTAGAGCAGATTGCGCTGCCGTACGCGTCCAGGGCGGACGCGACCTCCGGGACGTCGCTGCAGGCGGAGTAGATGTCGCGGATCTCGGTGATGTGGGCGTCCTGCCAGGACTGGAGGGCGGAGGAGTAGGAGGTGATGATCTGACCGGCCTGGCCCGTGATGGAGGGGAAGACGCAGGGGTCAGTGATTTGGGGGATGTCGAGGTTGGTCTCCGTGGCGAGGGCGGTGGGCTCGGAGGGGAAGTCGTCGACGATGGTGGAGTGCGCCATCCAGACGGAGGCGCAGGCGGTCTCGTCGCGGGCCTCGAGGGCGTCGTTGCCGGCGCGGCGGAGGACACGGGGGAGGGTGCCGGACATTTCGAATGCCATTGCGCCGGTGGCGGCGGCGGCAGCGAGGAGGAGCTTGGACTGCATTTTGGGAGGTGTTTGAAGTGTTTATGCCTTTCGAGAGAAGCGAGAGTCTGAAGTCGTAAGGACTGTAGGTTTTCGTGACGTTGTCTTAAGGATTGGCTGCTTGGGAAAGTTGGAGAGACAAGATACACTTGCGGTTGAACTCATGGGCGGTCGTGGAGGAGAGGAGCGCATGCCTTTTATTAAAGATTGACGAGGAAGTCGGCCGTCTCTTGCATCCTTCCTCTTTACCCTGGTCAGGTACATGAACACCCCTGCTCCATTCAAGTCGCCCAGCATGCCCAGCAGCTTCCCATGCACCCACGTTCGCCCCGGAGAGCTGTGAATGATGTTGGGAACCACAGAACGATGCCTCTAGTCTATCCAGGAGCGCCACGACAAGACCTCTAGCGCAAGGTACCTACCCGTCAGTGGCCTCCAGCCGAGCCGCCGAGACAAGATGGTGGTACGGGTGGCTACACTAGAGGTAGTGTAGTCGTTCGCCACAGTGCCCCTCTGATATGGGCAGAAGCTGAGAGTCGTGAGTCGTGACTGGGGTGGTGGACCTTGGTAATGGTACCTACTAGCGGTTGCTGCCTGCAGAAGCCTGAAAGGGGGGAGAGAAGAAGATATTGGCAGGAGATGTTTGTGATGCAATGATCGGCCATTGCCTGCCGTAGGCAAATCCTTCGTGGGAATATGATGCCGGGGGCGAGAATTCTCGAATCGACTGGCCACACGCACGGCGCGTAGCGTCCTATCGAGGCGAAGCCGCGAAGCTAGGGAGGAAAGATTTAGTCCAACGGCAATGCGGCACGCCAAAAAGGTAGCAGCGTCGCATTCTATTTCATCACATCAAATTCACTGTATCGATCATTCGCAGCCAAGAAGGAGAAGTGCTGGTTCGCTGTGACGAGGTTCATCACAGCTCAAAGCTCTCGATGGAGCAAGCTTCACGACTCTCGAAATGGACGGCGACCTGTGTGCAGATATCCATCCGTACCTGAACTCGCGCTCTGCACGGCGGCACGCACGGTTACATAGGGTGATAGTTTTCGCGGCAGGGCATCCCCTGTTCATACCCGAAGGTGGGAGTTCCTAGCAGATTGCCTTTTGCAATATGCCAGGGGTTCAAGGCTTTTGTGGCTGGTCTGAGCTGAACATGCTAGGATAGGAAATCAAAAATGGCGATCCGATATCTTTTTGCGTTTTTCTATGGTTTAGAGGTCAAAAAGTCCCTTTCTCTGCCTTATTCACTCGCTTAAACATGGATGAGTATGGAACGCATGGGACGATTTGATGGGTCAAGGGTGCTGGGCTTCTTCTCATGGATGATGGAGGTTCCATGTTAAGTGGCCCCGGGCTCGCCTGATCGTTTATGACCAATGAAGCTTCTGGGAACACTCCGAAGCCATTAAGATTGCGTGGGCCCGGCGATGGAGACTTCGAGATGACTTGAGGGAATGTGATTCGTTGCGGGAGGTAAACAACAACGGGGAGGTTTCAAACTTTCAAAGGATTTGGCTCGGGTCTTTGCGATCCATGCATCGTTTAATGTGCTGTTGCTCTTGCAAAGTACGGAGTATCGCCGACAGAGACGGGTTTTGACCGTTCTTAACAGTCATGAAGTCGGGCAACTTTGACGGTTCTGTCGATCCCCTTCTCGCTATGACAAGTTGGATGTGTTGACCAGTCGAGTACGTAAGACAATTCGGAACCACAACTCCACAGAAGGATGTTGGTTTCCCGCATAAAAACACAAAGCCGTGCTTAGGGAGAGTCTGGGCTGAAGTCACGACGGCGAGATGTAGCCCCTCCTTTCTCCTTCTATTCTCATGTAATAGTCAGCATCCGTCAACCATCAGAGCTGGTAATTGTACCGCAATCCAGTTTTGAATTCCCGTCAGCTCCTTTGTACCGTCAGAGACAACGAAAGCCGATACACCGGTAACCGTTGCCGCTGTGCCGCTGGTCAATTTCCCTTCTTGCAAGGGACACTCACAGCTACCGTCTGCAATAACTGCACTGCATTGAGTGCTTGGCCACCTAATTACTATAAAGCTAGCTACTTGCAGTAGTTCTTTTCTGTTCCTCTCTAGCCTCTTCTGGCCCTGTTCGGGGCTGGATTCGGCACCGCCTCGCTACGTTGCATTCATGCGGTCGTTAGTGCTGACGGCGGCATCTCAGGCGCCCTCTTGTCGGCCAACCACGGCTAGTCCTTCACCCCTCTTGACATGTCACCACGTTCAGAAGGTTTTTACCGTCTACTCCTTTTTCTTGTTTGACGTTTGCTAGCTAGTCAATCGCTGGCAAGTGATGACGGGTTTGGGGGCTACGCGCGAATATTTCCCCGACACGCCCGACAGGGCGCGCCTGTTGACGTCGATCCCTTTGACGTTCGGGTCAATTCAGTGGTGACAGTTGAACCAACAGTAGGATTCGTCGGTCTTGGCAATGAGGCTCGATCGCGAAGTACCACCAGCTAGAGACTCGCCACTCGCGAGCGGAAGAATTGGAGGAGAAGACTTCCGTATCGCTACTTTGTTTGGAATAGAGCTTCCAATAGCGCAGCCCTAAAGCCTTGTCAAAGTTTTCTTCAACGTCGGAGAGGCACGACACGCCGGGATCTCGAGATGTGATGCTGCAAACCCCTGAGGCAGCCTCCGACATTGGCGGACTTTGCCGAACACGCCGGATCGCACAGGCAAACACTGGAGATTTTCAGGCGGGCATCAAGCACAACAAATAAAATTATGTCTACGGTAATCGGCGTGATAATCACAGACTCGAAGGCTACCCTGCTCCTTGTGTTTGGGACTGTCTAGGTAGGCAGGTTGACGAGTAGCAAACACAATAGAACCCGAAAAGATTTTGCCAGTCATGCTGCTCCCATATTCCCAATGCCTAAGTCGATGATTGTGGCCGACCTTTGGTCTATTTCCCTCTGCCTCGAACAGCATGCTTGAGACATAGTTAGTGTAGGTACAATCGGGGCTAGCTGATCACTGAAGGGAGCTGGTTTTCATCGGAAGGAGAAAACAAGGGCTCATGTCAAAGGATGTGAGAGCTACACAGAGCGTTCGTCACCAAACGTCAATAGCCACTGACAGGAATTGACAAAACAGCGACTGCTTCCTTCCGCTGCCGGATATACACAATTTGTCGTCAGCAAGTCCCAGCCGTTGCTATTGCGGGCCGCGTAGTTTAAAGTTATACTCAAAGACCAAGGGCCGTCAGCCGGTGCTGACACTGGCGTAAGCCACCTCCATCGGCCCTCCAGCCATTCGACGTCCGTCCCTCGGTAGGGCTGACATGCATCACGACGACAAGGCTCTATTCGACCGGACCACCGACCACCGTCATTTGGCGACACGGCAGCTCGGTAATCATGTTGCTGACATTGGCATATGCAAACGGCACGTCAGAGCACCTACGCGGTGTCTAATTCTGGCTTTGATATGTTGCTTAAGAAGAAGTGGATGCCCAGTTGAGGGGGCAAAGCTTGACGAAGATTTGAGCCTCCAACTATTTCCATCGACGGCTCATCATGAAGACCTTTTCCAACTTCGTAGTTGCCACATGCTGGCTATTTGTGGCTCTAGCCCGCGGCCACACAGTCCTCTCCTACCCAGGATGGAGAGGCAACACCTTCATCACAAATGAGACATACCCCTTTGGGATGCAATGGACCTACCCATGTACGTCACCAAGACGCTCATCTCTGGCGACACGCACCAGAAACCAAATTACACATATTTAGCTATCCAAAGGCTGACATGAACCCCCCTCCCCGCAGGTGGCGGCCTCGGCGTAACGCGAAACAGAACCTACTGGCCCATCAGCGGCGGCGCCCTCGCCGTCCAACCGGGCTGGAACTCGGGACACAAGACGGCGCTCATGTACATCAACCTTGGCCTTGGCGAGTCGCCGAAGAACTACTCCATGGTCATGGTGCCCCGGTTTCAGCTGACGGGGCCCTCGAACCAGGAGTACGAGGGGACGTTCTGCCTGCCAGAGGTGCCGCTGCCGGCTGGTGTGGCGCCCAAGGAGGGTGATTTGGCGTCGATACAGGTCGTGGAGGCCGCACAGCATGGTGCGGCGTTGTTCAGCGTATGTTTTCTTGCCAAGTGCTACCATTTTGCGAACATGTCATATTTCGTGGAAGTGTACAACACTACTGGGAGGGGAAAATGCGGGATGAGATCGTGTGGCTGACTGTGATAGTGTGTCGATATCATCTTTACGGAAGACGCGTCAAAGGTTACCCCAGTGACAGCGGATAACTGCTTCAACTCGACGAACCTCAAGGTTGAAGCGGCGACGCTTGAGACGAATTCCTCGCCTATTACTGACCCGTTGTCCCCGGCGACCACAACTACTACTACGCCGAGCGCGTCTCCAACTAGTGGAGCTCCCCGGTTGGCGTCAAGCTTTTTCGGTCTCTTGGGCATGTTGTTGCTTGTTTAAAATGCCCCGGCGGGATATGGTCCTTGACGTACACGAATGTTGCCGGATAAAAGTTGAAGTGCTGCGCTGTTGTTGCCCTTTGTATTAGCGGAATGAGATTGTTGCAACTTGAGGATTTCATGTGGAGGGGGAGATTTTGCGGGATGAGACATGCACTTTCACATACTTCTGAATTCACGATATGGAGAAGACGTTGTGACTTCCTAGGCAATCCCATCGACATATTCCCTCTCTAGACCCCGTGATGATCAAACTTCCCCATTAAGACTCCCCATGTCGAGCTTCGAAACCAGAGCGTCCAAGTTTCTTGACGATCGACCTACCCTGAAGCACCAGGTATGTCGTTCTTCCACGTAGCAGAGAATCTCAATCATGCTAGCTCCATGTTCACCTCCATACCTCCCCACTCCATGACACGGAACTTGCTCTGGTCCTCCATACCGTCCACGTCGATGCCGATCATACTGGGCCAGTTCAAATCCCCCAGTCTCGCACGATTATCTTCGTCTTTACCACCGACTACGCCTCTGAAGACGAGAAAAACTCTGGCGACGGTGCTAGGACTCGGAGTGACGGTCAATTTAGCCGCTTTCTCGAAATCGCTCTGGGGGATGAAGTTGAACGCGATCTGGAGGCCCCGATCGCGGATAGACTGGAACTTGGGAAGCCAGTATACGATCATCTCGGTCCGCATTGCCGGCGTTAGAGCGAGGCTGGTGAGGACCCGATCGAGGTAGGGTACGAAGTCGTCGAAGGAAAGGACATAGTTATCAGCAAAGTACGCGAGAGGATTCTGGGGGTTGAAACCATGAGTCTCTGTGACCTTGGACAACGGGTCGTTCAAGGCATCGGCTTCCCAGAACAGGTAGCTGCACTCGACGCCTGTGGCGGTGTCCTTCAGAGTGCCATCCGGCTTGGCAGAAGCCTGCCAAGAGACGTCGTTCTGACCAACGGCCCCTTTGACGAGTGGGTAGATGTTGGAAATGCTCCAATGGTGAGATAGGTTGACCATGACGCTGACGTTGCTAAGTTGGGTAGGCGACAAGAGGTAGATTGCCGGTTTGCCATCTCTCAAACGGAGAACTAGATGCATAGTATTATTCTCAATGACGGAGTAAATTCTCAACGTTTTTTTCGGCTCCATTTGCTGGCGACGGTAGATGAGTCTCTGTTGATCAAGGGGGATGCCCTCTGCGGCCTGTACGGCAGATTTGAGGTCTGCGACGGTGGCAGCTGGTGAGATGCTTAACCGAATGGTTTTGCCAGTCACTTCAGTAACGCATCAGCTCGCGATCCGAAACTTTCTCATTCTCGTACTCGAAAACTTACAAGTCCTGACACTGACGTTCATGAGCAGCCGAGATGACCCGGCGATGTCACCGGGGCAGGCTCGCTTCCGCTTGGGCGCCTCCTGGGGTTCGTCCTCGAGCTTGATGATCGGAGCAGCCTTTGGCTCCAAGCGAAGGACACAACCGTCCTCAACCGCTCTGTACGCTGACCTATCAAGTTCAAACTCTAATTCACCGGATTTAGGAGTGCAATGAACGATCAAATCAACCGCCTGGCTGCCAAACGCATTCCGAGCGTCACTCAGGAGTGAACGGTAGGTGTCCGGACGGGCGGTGAGACGACGGCGGTCTCCGAAGACCATCATAACCAAGGGAGTTGGAGACATCATGAGGAACGATGGCGAGTCCTCAAGAGGTGAACTATCGGCATATGTATTGGCAAAAGGCCGGCCCCCTACTTCGGGCAAATCGGTGGTTTGATTGTGGTTGAGGTGAGGGAAAGCAGAGAGTGGTTGATAGTGGTGAGGGTGAAGAATATGATTGAGAAATGAACTTGATCGGTAAGATTTCAGCGAGATCTCGGTGAGAGATGAGCGCAGTTGAGTGAGGGAAAAGAGTGATCAGTCGAAAGAACCGAGGGCGGGAGGGTGCAAAAAAGAGGTGGAAGTTGGGAATGGAAGGTGCCGATTGCTCCTGCTTGATTTCAGGGATCTGCTAAAGGAAAGGAAGGAGACACCTTAAGGAGTACCTTCCTATATAAATATGCCTCAAATCCAGCAAGCTAAAGATGAAGATTGTGGTAGTGCAGATACACCCGCTGGGGAAATATGAAAGGAAGGTGCTCAATGTCAAAGAAAGATGAAGTTGATTGCTACACGTGTCCTTTGTCGGGAGAAGAAGTAGTTAGTTCAAGGCAACTGGGTTTTTGTGGTTCAGAAGACGTCATTTAAACAGTTTGATTCTCAGGCTACCTTAATGATCCAACTTCTCCGGGATGGATCTCCAGTACTCGATGGCCTCCCTTCGAATATCATCCTTCTCGAGCCATGTCTCATTCTTACTAACGTTCACTTGCCACCCCAGACCGTCTGCGCCTGGATCGATGTACTTCTTCCACTCAGCGGCGCCTGCAGCTTTGAACTTATTCGGGTCACCACTGACAACAAAGCTGGCGTAGAACCTAGACAGAATGATACCGGCTTGCGGGTATTGCGCATCCGGCTCGGCCCAGGCATATGGAACGTCAGAGCCATGCGAGATCCCGAGGTATGAAGCCACGCTGTTGTTGGTATTCCAGTGCAGTTTCCATACGGGGATATCTGCGGCAGACAGGCGCTTCGCAATCTCCTGAGAGGCGCTGATGTAGGATGTGTCGCCGTAAACCGCAGTGAGTCGGGTGAACTGGGCAGATTGGCCCCGGGAGTCTGCGAATGGGCTTGTAGGGTCGGTCTCGGGATCCGGATATAGACGAGAGAAGACTTCTCTATCGCTTTCGTTGAGTCTAGGGCAGAGATTGGAGAGCCAGCCCCATGCTTCCTCGTCCGTGGTTAGGTTGGTGGGAGCGTACAGGCTGCCCTCGTCGGTGATGAAAGATGTCAACGCCGGCAGGTGGTTCCATGCGTCAGAGTCCCAGGTTTCGGACGGAAGACGAGGAATAATGACAGCATCTGGGAATCGAGTTAGTCTCACAATATTTATATTCAGTACCCTGCCCTATGAGGCAGAATCCTTGGGAATGTGGAGGAATATTCACCGGACACAGGTTGGAAAGGATGGGTGCCGTTGTAACGATACGCCGCTAGTAAAGCAGTTGCCGTCTCCTCAAGGACTTCAACGTCCACAGCTCTCAAGCACGAAAGCAAATTCTCGGCGGTTTCATTACTCTGACAACCAACTCCACCCACATATTGCTCAAACTGCCTGACTGTCAATGGGTCCGAAGCGCTGGGAAACGACCGTCCCGTCGGGCCGCCAGACTGGAAGATTGCCTGCTGAAATAGCTCCTCGCCAGGAGTGAAGGTATTCTGGTAGTGGAAGCCCACAGAGTGAGCGCCTGCTGACTTGCCGCCCAGAGTGACCCGTTCGGGGTCACCTCCAAATGCGGAGATGTACCGGTGGATGAAGCGGAGAAGCTGGTGTTGATCCTGGAGACCGAGGTTGACGTTGCCGAGGTCTGAGAGGACGGGATTTGCTAGGAAACCCAGGGCGGCCAGCTGAGAAGTTTCAGTCAGATCAGTGAAAAGCATCAATTCCAGGAGGTTGAGAATGGACATACTCTGTAGTTGAATGTCACAACAATTAGTGGTTCTGGAGAGGAGGCAACTAGTGAAGCTCCGTCAAAGGTGATACCAGCGCCGTTGCGGAAAAGACCCTATGAACTTGATCAGTCGGCTGTCCAACTGAACTCAGTCATCCATGAGGGAGCAGAGAAGCTCACGCCGTGAATCCAAACCAAAACGGGTAGCTTTTCATCAGCGCTCACGCCCGTCGGCTTGTAGACATTGAGGTTAAGGCAGTCCTCGCCGTATTCCAGTCCGGTCGTGATGTAAGTGACCAGGTTTGAGTTTCCAGGCTCTTGAATACAGACTTTGCCATACGAAGTGGCGTTCTTTGTCCTGTTCGAGGCCGAAGGCCAACTGACCGGGGCAAAACGAAGATCGCCGATGGGTTGTTCTGCGTAGTCGATGCCATACCATACGTTCACCGGACTCGCAAGCGGGTAACCGGACGTGGTGTTAACCAGAGTCTTTCCAACATATGATCCGTACGATGGAATTTGAACAACTAGAGAGCTGTTACCAACGATTGGGTTTCCTGATGCAGCAGCAAAGAGCAAGGCGCCAATGGCTCCAGCCCTGAGCCAGGAACCGCCTTGGATATGCGACGCAAACATAGCGACGAACATAGACGTAAATACGATTGAAAGACGGTGAGTTGGGATAACTCCAAGCGCTGGAAAACCATTTCCAAGCCCCCCTCTTCCACCATTTATATGAGGTTACATAGAGAGATAGAGCCGATTACTTGCCGGTGGTTTGACCCCTCTTGTCATTGGTATCCTTGCAAGTCCCACAACCAAAGTCGAGATCCCCGCCATAAACTGATCGCGCAAGAGCTGTCTAAATGACGAGACTTGCAAAAACAGAAATTGTTCGCATTCTTTAAGTCAGCTTTCATTGTGCTGCCTTTCATGTAGGCTGGAGATCCTTCAGGTAAAATAAAGTTGCTATTTTCATTGGTTAATGCTATTCACAACTCTTTGATGACCAGGTAATTGGTTGAACAATGAATGCATCGTCAGTGATTTGATGCCGCAGATCCCCAGGAGCCCCTGCCTTCGTGATCTTGGCACTCAGGAACGATCTTCCTCAGCACATCTATCGGGGGCTATCAATGATCCATGTCCCAAGCGATAGGTAGTTTTCGGATATAGCAAGCCGAAATCTGAAGGATCAAGGATGTAATCTGGACTTTCTTATCGCAGCTCCATGATACCAGACTGTCATTATAAATGTCTGTTCGCTCTATCTTGACATCTGGGGAGGCTCAAAGCAAGGTTGAGGAGTGGTATCAAGACCGAGAACGGCCGGACCCGCCGCGGAATCCGGGGACTGCGCCGGCACCGGAGCTTTGTTTGCCTGCCGTAGGTGGACCGTGCTTCAATGACATGGGTCAGGCCCGCGGATCTGGATACTTTATGATCTTTGCATC